CTCTAGTCTCGAATATTATTTTTTGTAATTGAAAAAAATGAAAAATTGAACTTTGACAAAAATAAAAAAAAAAAAAAAAAAAAAAACAATACGTCGGTGAACGTAAGTTAAAAATAATGAAATATCGGTGGAAAAGAAAGACAGGAAAAATAGTATTCAGTGTTCGTTCAAAGGATAAAAGTGGAAGCGAATGCAAGGAAGTAGTAAGAAGTCTCTCGATAGGTAATATCTTCCCTAAAAAGTTGTCCAGAGTTCGTATAGAAGAGAGCATTAACTTGTCCAAGATGAAGCGATCATTGTTAGTCGATGAACCCATTAGTACGTGGAAATTGCCCCCCCCGGTTTGGTTCGGGGTATCGTGTTATTGTAAATGAGAGAATGTGCGTTTAGATAAGTGGGGCTAACGTGGCCTCATCGAACTATTCAAAGGCTGCATAAGACCGCCATTTATGTAACCGTGATACGTCGTGTACACCGCTGCTGGATTTTGCTGATGAGGATCCTGAGGGTACGGTGCAGGTACATTAACAACTCCGACAGGTAACTGGCTGGCTTGATTCATGAAACCACCGAGCTGCGCCGCTTGATTCATGTAGCCGGTGCCAGGCTGTGCCACACGATAGCCATACTGGGCCATGAGATTCGTATTTATCGCTACGTTGGGACTGACTCTGCTAGCGGCGCTCTGCATCTGAGGACAGGTACTTCCAGGATCGAGAGTCTGACGATACAGGCTCTCGCTTGGATACGGTTGTGTCAGAGACGGCATATTTGCGTTCGCCGATGACCTCGAGGTCGATCTACTGGGCGGTCCAGGAGTAGTAGGCGGAACCGTATTGACGTTATAGTAATTTTTTGCATAACCAAGGGGTACTTGAGGCGGCGTCGGCAACTGCCTCGACGTTTGCGGTGGCGTCATAGTGTGTGGTATTGGCGGCGGTGGCGTTAGGTTCATCGCCGGCGGAGGTGTAGGAGGTATCATCTCCAATCCGTTCGTCAGCTGTTGCAACTTTGCTAGACTGCATGAATTCGTGGTTTGGTGATTTCCAGAAGCTGACAGAGAAGGGGCCGGTGTGTGCGAATGCGGTGGCATCGCGCTCGTCTGAATATAAAAATTCGTCGCTGTGGTGCACGGTGTCGGTGCACCGGATCTGCTGCTTCGATGCTGGATCACGTACGTGTTCTGCGTTGGAAAGGTTTGCGAAGCGACGGCCATGTAATTCCCTTGCGAAATAACGGCCATGTTGTGCGAGTGAGCAGCATGAGTATGAGAATGCGGATGAGGTACAGGTGGTACACTCATCGACGACGATTGCTGATACTGCGGCGGTACGTGCGTTGTATGCGCTATCGTTGTATGGCTCGTGTGGGAGCTTGTGTGGCTCGTGTGGGAGCTCGTGTGACTCGTGTGGGAAGTCGTATGGCCTTGAGACGAGGCCTGAGCGTGCGACGTAGGGGGTGTGGTTCGATGCGATCTGCTACTCTGCTGCGCCGACCTCGACCTGTGAGTCGTTTGCGAGCCACTGGCCCTTTTGTTACTGTGAGACTGCGTTTGCTGCGATTGCTGTTGCTGTTGATGCGCGGACTGCTGTTGAGACTGTTGCTGTGCTTGAGACTGCTGCTGCTGCTGCTGCTGCTGCTGAGATTGACCGTGCGTCATACTTTGGTTTTGCGTTTGTTGAGCCAGCGACAATTGCATCGGTTGAGGTGTGTGGGACGGTGGTAAAGGCTGCGGCGTGTGACTCTGTCGCATCGGTTGAGGACTCTGCGTCGGAATACTTTGCGGCGTGTGAGACTGAGAGAGTGGCTGCGGCGTGTGAGACTGAGGTAACGGCTGCGGCGTATGACTTTGCGGAAGAGGTTGTGGGCTTTGCGTTGGTATACTTTGAGGCGTGTGAGACTGCGGTGTACGTGGCTGCTGAAGAGGCTGCGGTGTATGAGGAGGTTGATGCATCGGATGAATATTGACGTGCGTCGACGGAGTATGCTGAGGCATTGAACAATCGGCGTACTGTACTTGCGGTGAAATATTTACAGCGGCGGATGTGACCGGCGTAGTTATTTGCATCGACACCGAAATTGGTACGCTAACAGAAGATGGCATCGATGGCAACGCGCTCGGTGGTCTCTCGACGCTGTTCTGCGAGGCAAGGTCGCTAGCGATCGACGTAGGAGACTCCAGCCCTAACTGGCTAACGTCCAAGTCGCATTGGCCGTAATGCAACGAGTGCACCGAATTCGTGGTCGAATCCGGCGTATAAACTCCCATAGACGGTAAATCAGGTTGCGAAGGGGGTGTCCGTTTCACCGAACCGGGATTGTCCAAGTGAGGCGTTGTCTTACCACTTTCGGGCGAATTCTGTTTCAATTCTTCTGAATGAGTTTGAAGGTGGATAGTCGTTTCTTGCTGCTCGATAATGGGCAAGACTTTCTCTTGGGGCGTGAACGGCCCTGTTTCAGGCGACGCGATATTGGAAACAGCAGAGGACGATTCCTTTCTCTCTGTGGGCGTTGCAGGTGAAGTTTCTATCTTTGGCCTCGTCAATTCTTCTTTCGAATTCTTTAACGTTAATCTCTCGGAAACTCCGTCAGTTTCTCTACAGCTACCTACATCTTGACTAACAGTTTTCAACTTTTCAATTTCTTCTTCTTCTTTAGGCGAAGAAAGATCAGGTACCAATTTAGACGTTTCCGAACTACAAACTGCTTTCTCAGTCTCTAAATCTTTGTCACATTCCCCCTTTGCAAGTGTATTCTCCTCCTCCTTTCCTTCCGCTGTCTCCATTACTCCTTCGCCATCGCCATCTCGTTCGCGTTCACTTTCATCTTCTCTTTCGGCCTCGCCTTCACCCTTGTCCACTGCTACCTCACCTTCTCTCTCTTCAATCTCTCCTCTTTGTACTTCTTCCTCCAACATAGCCGATTCCGATTCAGACATCGGCTTCGGCGTGAAGGAAGCGACGGTGTCGTCTTCGAGCTTTTTCTCGTGCGCGTCGTCCTCTGATTTTTCACTTCGTTCGCTCAAATCGGTCTTCGCGTTTGTCATAGGTTTCAATTTCGGTGCAGGTACTTCTTCTTCGCCCTCGTCCTCGTCTCCTCCCTCGTACTCTCCCGGGCTAGCGGATACAGTTGCTTCTACTTCCGGAAGAACGGTCGATCCACAAGCATCGTCAGTGCTACCGCCATCGGCATTATCAGTTTGTTCAACAACGTCGTCTCTATTCTTCACAGTTTCCGGTGCGTTGGAAATCTCTTTCTTGGCAGGGGCTGTAAGTAGCTGCTCTGCAACAGGAGACGATTGTTGCTTAACACTCGAGAGAGATTCGATCTCTTCAGAGCATGGCGGCGGAGATAACGATGGAGGAAGTATCACAGGGGTTTCCGGTCGATCCTTCGTAGGGGTTTCCGGTTTTAACTGTGGCATCTTTAGAGCCTCCTTTTCGACTTTTGCTCTCCCCCGTCTCGACACCGGCAAACTTTTAACCTCCTTTGCCTCTTCTTTCCCATTACACTGGCTCTGTTCCAAATTTTTCTTTTCTTTCGCCTGTTTCGTTTGCAAGTGTAACTTGGATTGTCGGCTGGTCACTTTCAACAAAATATCGTCAACCTTGCATTGCTTTTTCGTAGGTTTCTGCGTTACCGACGACACAGACGATTCCATCGCCTTAGAAGACGACTTCTCCACCTCGTTCATGTTATCCTTGTCCTTATCTTTAGGATGACTATCCCTCTCTTTCGGTTTATCACGCTCCTTGAGTTTCTCTCTTTCTCTCTCTCGTTCTTTGTCCTTTTCTTTCTCGCGCAACGATTCTCGAGTTCTCTTTCGAGAACTACCTTCCTCCTTTTCTTCAACGTCAGTCTTTTCGGAATGTTTTCGTTTTCGCAGGGGAGTCGACGTTGTTGTAGTCATCGCCGTCGTTACCGAGGCGCTACCCAGAGGTGTCTTTGGCGTTCTAATTCTTCGTCTGGACATCGTCGTGGTGGTGGTTGTCGCTACAGTAGTAGTCGTGGTCGTTGTCGTAGATGACGTCGTTGAATTCATCGAGTTCATGTTTTTTGAAGCAGCCAGCGCGCGAGAGTTCCTCGACGATGTCGTAGCGCTCTTCGTTTCCACCTCCATGGCTTCTTTAGGATTTTCCGTGGCAACAGCGTTTCGACTCCTTTTCTCCGTGTCCTTCGTTTCTTTCGTTTCTTTCGCCTCCTTGACCGCGTTCGTCTCCTTAGCTTCCTTTGCCTCTTTCAGCGCCTTTGCGTCTCTTGGTTCTTTCGCATCCTTGGAAACAGAATTCTTCTGTCCATTCGATTTCAAAGTGCTTAATTTCGAAATGCTAGTTTTCTGTTTGAATGGCGAGGATCGCCTCTGCCCTAGCCTCCTGCCTCTCGGTTTCTTTTTAATCTTAACCTTTTGAATCTTCTCGACGATCGTCGGCACGTGTTTCGGTTCCACTACGGGCGAAGACTCGGAACTAGTGTCGCCACTTTCCTCCATACTTTGATACGGATTGGGAATCTGCGTGAGCAGCGGTATCCATCTAAGACAGTCAGGATCTAACTTGATGCGCGAGCTCTTTCGTATTTTCGCCATGTGAGCGTCCACTTTGCCCCAATCGACCACCACAGCCACTTTGGAATTCCCCTCGCCGGGTAAATGGACCGATCTAACGAACCCCAGCAGTTGCATAGCAGTTGCGATATCGTGTGCCGACACGCCAGTCTCCTTCGTTATATCTCCCAGTTTGATATCCGTGGAATCTCGATGGGCGTCAAGATATTCAAGCACGACGCTTTTCCAGAACGAGTGATACGACACTCGACCGAGATCCGAAAGAGGTTTCTCTGGCGTGCCGGGGATGCCTTCCACTTTCGACAGAAGGTAACTAAATTCAATGAGAAATCTGCCAAATCCTTGTCTCTGATATTGCGGCAATGTCATGATGCACGACACGTTGTATCTCTGCGCGGGACAATGCTTCTCTTTGCTGAAATAACCAACCAAATGACAGCCATACTTGTCATTTTTCGTTACCGCGTAGAACAAAAATGGCTCCACGTCGTAGTACAAGGTTTTATGATCCAAGAACAATTTCGCTAGCAGACACAGATTTTGACAGTATATTTTGTTGACGTTACCATCGATCTGAAACACAATAATTCGAATTTTCATTGCTCCATTGATAAGATACATCACATTATATTGTCTGTCCAATTCTAGCTCCTTCATGATGTAATATGAAAGGAGTGTAACTTCATGATTCTATAGTTTCAGAATAAACTGAAAGTCAGAAATGATTAAATTAGAAGTTTCATTTTTGAAAAAAAAAAAAAAAAAAAAAAAGAAAAAGAGTGGAACTAATTTTAATTCTTAATTTCTTTGAACTTTATTTTGTTACAGTGTCAAAGGGGCTCCAAGAGAAAGAAAAGAAACGTTGTGTACCTCAAACACAGACAATCCGTTGCATCTGTAGATCTCAGTTGCCGGAGGATGCCTCCACTGACATTTATCCATGTGTCTGTCAAGTACAGCTCGACTCTTCGTGTACTTTAAACAAAATTCACAGAAGAACAGTTTTGGTAGTCTTGCATACTCCTGGGGAAACGGACTGGAATACCAGGTCTCTACTTCATAACGGCCGAAAACTATGGCCGCGGGATTCCTAATGCCACTCCCTGTATTTCCTGTACTGCTCCCAAGGCTTACTGTCGTGGTTTCCACTGCGTCACCATTCACGGCGGTTAACCGAGCCGCTCTATCCCGGGCATCCTTAAACAGCTCAACATCCTTTTGCGTGACACCCGGTGGTAAGGTCTGAGGTAGAATCGGTTCCTCTGTAAACAAATATAAGAAAACTAACTTCCTACATGCTCGCGCGCTGACTCGCATTGTTTTATGCAGTGAACAGAACAAGGGAACAAAAATTCCTTTACGATTCCACTGTAACAATTAATCCACAGAACTTGAATCCATGTCTCGATTTGCTCGATATTTTCTCTCTTACTCGTTTACCATAAAAGAAACATTAATTGCAATGCAGACAAACGTTTCGTTGCACGAAAAACACGATACACGTGATTAAGGGAGGCTCTGATACGATACCAACAGTGAGAAACTTTTGATACAAGTCGTACGTGAACAAACGTAAAATCTTCACCGGGTATGTTATTATAAATTTGTCGGGGAATGCAACTCGAAAGAAAGAGTACAATTTTAATCGTGATGCGTGAGGAAAGTAAAAAAAAAAAAAAAAAAAAAAAAAAAAAAAAAAAGAGGGACGAAAAAAGAAAAAAAATCTGTCCACTAGAGAAGCGGATATATAGTTGTAGTCGCAAAGCGTAAATATATTAACTTGTGCATTGATAATCTTCGGTAATATCGAGTGCGACAACAATTAATTAGCTGTTAATATTGTGAGTAGTATCCAAAGCAAAGCTATGGGGTAGGTGGTTTTCGTGGGATGTGTTGGCAGAGTATCAAGTTGGCTCTTCGATGGCAAAAGCGGATTTTTTGTTTTCCCTTCGTTTCGTTTCTTTTCGTTTTTTTTTTTTTTTTTTTTTTACTTCTCGTTTTCCCTTTTCTGTCTTTCCTTTCTTCCACTTTTTTTTTTTTTTTACTCGTAAAATTTTATCATGGTGGAAGACAGCGAGTCAAGAGAACAGAGCCTGCTAAAAATGTCAGAGCAGCAGCAGATAGGATTCCAATATTATTAATACCAGACAGACGACTGGCTGAAATATGTCACCTAGCGCCGTATTTCTTCATCCTGTGAACTGATCGGCATTGGTTACTTAATTCTTTTTTCTTCCCTAATCCTCTCTCCTTTCCCCCTCTTTTCCTTTCGTCAATCTTTGATTCTTTATAGAATCAGGATATCGAGTAATTGGAAAAACTTTCACGATACCCACTCGAGCTTCGTATCTATGTCGTACTCGAAGTAATCGGAGCTCTCAATTATCCTAAACTCCTTAACAGAATAATTCGATCTTTTAATATTCCTTTGTATATTAAACACGATAATGACAATCTAATGGATGTATCGTGAAAAACAGCGAAGAATAGATAAGAAACGGTTACAGTTTATCTTAGGTATTCGGTTAAATCTTTGTGTCGCCGACTGTACAAACTGTAAAGAAGTTGATCAAGTTAGAAGTAGTGAGAAGTTAAAAACGAAAAAAAAAAAAAAATTGTGCAGCAGCGAAATTATCACGGTGAACGGTCCAAGTAGTCGAGTGCGTTTATTTACGTACTACGTGCACTAATTATGTATTTGACAACTATATGATATGTGGAAGAAAAAAAGGAGTGTATGCCAGAGCCAAATAACGTTATTAGTAACATGCAATAACCATGTAAGAGTTGTCCGTAGTGTAAAACGAATGGAAATACATGTTTGTACGAGACACAAATTTGATCTGAAAACGCTGATGCGAGGAACGAATCGAATATAAAAGACGGTCTTTGCAGCTAGAAAATTCAGGTTTCCATAAGTTTTACACCACGTAATAAGCGATAAACAATACGTCCTATCAAGAGACCTGATTGTTCTTATTACGCGTAAAGTAATGCTCGTTCAATGCTTAATCGTTATATAGCATATTGTGTATGATGATACAATAATTTATCGATGGGCCACGAGAAACCAGCTGTTAGTTGAGAACAATCATGTTTTCTTGAAACAGATTATGTCAGACGTACATGAACACATACATCATACCACACCACACCGCCAACACATCCACGTGGTGGTGAGCGAGGATTAGATTAGAGGGAATTCTTCTTTGCGACTTGGGTGCATCATCGAGGTTAGGACTCGTGAACGGGTGGGGTAGATTCTTACCCTTCCTGGTGGAGCAGGGTGTCGCGCGGGGTGTCGTGGTGGTGTTGGTGGTGGTGGCGCTAGTACAGGCTCGTGGATTGGACTTTAGGCTGGGATTTGATTTCACGGGATCGGAGCTCAGGCCGGATTTCGATACAGCGGGCACAGGGTGGCGTGTCTGGTTCCCTTCCACGAGTGTGTTTCTCTTTCGCGAATGCTGATCGGGCCTAAGGGCCGATGATGCCGGCAATGACGTCGACAGCAATGATGGTGAGGACGACGATGACGACAGCGAGGACAACGGCAAAGTAGACGGTGATGATGATGATGATGGCAACGGTAACGGCAAGGGTGACGATAACGGTAACGGTAATGGAAACGATGACGACGACGAAGACGATGACGACGACGACGACGATGACGATGACGATGACGACGACGACGATGATGACGACGATGACGACGACGAGGACGATGACGATGACGACGACGACGACGATAACGATGACAATAACGGCAGTGGCAACGATGGTGATGATGCGCTAGCCGCACACTTTACTAACGGCGCGTCATCTTTCATCAGTTTCCTCCTTTCGTGTTCGTGCCTTTTGCTATTAACCGCAGTTTTAACTAAATTCGACGGTGTCATTTTTGGTAGTTTCTCGTTGAGAGAACTGAATAAAGTTTCGTCGGAAGGTGTGAAAATCCCAGGCCGAGGTACCCTCGGCACGTCGGCCCCCGCCGCCTCCGTCTTTTTTTTCTCTTTCGACTTGCCTAAACCAGACGACGCGTTGTCACGCTTGATCTTATTAATCTGCATTCCTTTGGAAACTTTACTCGTTCTGTTATCGCTGTCGTCCGCGTTAGGCCGCTTTCTTCTGTCGGGCGCGTAATTAGGCGTCAACGCGCTAGATCTTACTCTGCTACTAGTAGGTACTGAAAAAAAGTGACTCAATCCATCGAACAGACCTTTCAACTGGCCGCTACCAGGTTTAACCTTATTCGTGTCGGTGAAACTGTTCGTTATACCACTGATACTTCGATCGTTCTTCTGTTTCTTCTTTCCGTCGAACGAATTAACAGCTGGCTGTATGTGCAAGCCAAACGTCGGCGTGCTGCTTACATCGAGCTTAGGTAACGGGGCGCCGAAGGTGCTGGTAATGTTACTAAAAAACGGTGACTCCATGTTGAGCTTGGCCGCGGCTGCGGCAAAACCCCAAGGTTTGTCCTCGTTCAAATCACAAGAGAACGGACCTCTTGGCTTAGGAGAATTATCGGTACCGGTAACACCACCACCACCACCACCACCGCTACTACCGACGACAACAGCACGACGTTTCTTGTGACCATCGTCGCCGTCGTCATCCTCCTCTTCATCGTCGTCGTCGTCGTCATCGTCGTCGTCGTCATCCTCGTCCGAAGTGGACGTATTACTGGATGCGCTAGAGCTATTACCATTCACCTCTTCCTCCTCTTCTCCCCCCTGTCCGTTCCCCTCCTCCTCCGCGTCGTCTTCGTCGTCATCATCGGTCGTATCACTCGAGTCGTCGGATGAATCGCTATCGCTCGCGTCGCTGCTGCTGCTACTACTAGACATTGGCGTTACTACCTTTTTACCGAGCATGGATTGCTGCTTCTGGTTCGCGTTACCCCGAGTTAATCTAGGACTAACGTCCTGCGAACATTTCGACTTCTCACCGCCCCCCACCCGCTTCAACTTATTGTGCTCCGCATTAAACGCACTCAGCCTAAAAAACTTTTGCTTCTCTTTGGAAATCCGATCGTTTTTCTCTTCTAGTAGCCTACCCTGGCCTGCGAGTGGGGTGGGGGGTTGTGGTAAGGGAGAGGAAATCAAAGGTGGTTGACGAGGGGAGACAACACCCGCATTACCGTCCGAGCTGCCGTCCACCTGTGCCACTCCTGCGCCGCTTTTCTTCACCGCAGTTGAAACCGTCAGGCTCTTTCTGGATACTGTCGCTCTGAAACAGACGTTGTCTATTCAAATTGTTTGTCAACCGGTTGTTGTTACTTTCCCTTAACTTTAACCCTTTCAACAACACTAGCTCAGTGTTGTCGGTTTTAATGTAAAAGAAAAGAAAAAAGAAAAAAAAATCAAATAAATAAAAACTGAAGAAAAAGAAAAATGACGCGTCGAAAGGATTAAATCTTTCTAAGGGGGATAGCACAACTAAATTCGAACCTAAAGATTGCTTCACATCAAATTTCCGCTTACTTTCTATTTTCACGTAATTTGCTAAGTCTCTTCCTCGCGCTAGTCGGCGTGCTCTCGACAGAATTTGCCGTGTCCTGTGTTTTATTTCTTTTGCTATCGTCCTTCGATACCGGGGTATGCGCCGTTTGACAATGCCGACATCTCCACGGTGTTTTGTTCTTTTTGTCAAGCGCCGGGTCCAAACAAGCCGGATGATAACACTTAACACAGCCAGCGCATTTTACCAGGTAATTTTGTGACTCCCGTTCCAACTGACACCCGGCACACGTTGGCGAGCAATCGTCACAAGACCACGTTATACCTCTGTCAACGAGAATCGAAAGTTCCGGCGGTGCGCAAGAATTGTGTAAAGCTGCGCCGCATACGCTACACCTGCTCAGTTTCTCGTTGACGTTCCGCTTCGTGTTATTATTGCTTCCAGCTATCGTCGCGCCAAGGCATTCTCTGCAGATCGGTAGTGGAGCTGGCAGCTACGACAAAATTAAATAAAATATGAATATACTGTACGAAAATCACATGATAATGGAGATGATTTTAATGTGACATAATTGTGAAGATGAAAAGGTGCCATAAATCCTCAGTAACAAACTATTGCTACATCTATATATTCTGTGAACTTGTATCAATTCAAAGGAAGAAAACATTTTTCATTTTCAAAACAACTGTCACAACTTTTGTAACGAAGGATAAATAGTTTACTGAAACAGTAAGGATAAATACTTACTACTATCTTACTAACAGTTAAGAAGGATAAATAATCTCTACAAATCAATTGTACTCTAACTTCCTCCAACGATTTCAAACTTGTGAATGGAATTTTTAAAACGCACGCAACACAAATACAAGGATAGCCTATAATAATCTCTGTATTCCAGCTAGTTGACATTTTTGGCTTCGTTCGAGTCAGACATAGAGTTCACGGAGAATCGTTTCAACGTACAGGATACGCGTGATCAGGATCCGCGTCTCGAAACAGCGACCTGTTGCTCTACCAGAGAGCAGCTATAACTAACAGTTATGCGATTGAACGATCCCGCGCTCTTGGCTTCTTAACATATTCTTCTTTGACGCATCGATAGTTTTTTTTTTATACCTATTATAACAAAATCAGTTATTGTGTAGAATATATGAAATATATGCATAGTAATTGCTATAGAATGTAACAGTGATTATTATAGTATTATCATGAATATTGTTTAAATTTTCGACGACATATGTAATATTAATATCAAAAGTCAATAATAATTAGATCTTGAATTTGCGAAAAATGTCGCACATTACATTAATAATGTATATTTCGACCGATCTTTTTCAATTACGTTCTTCTCGTAACAAGGACTGAAAGTGTGCACGAGAGGAGATCCAATCGTGAACAATATTGGACTGGATAACTAAATAGTGACGCTTGGCGGCGAAACTGAGAACCACCTGAGAATTCGAGAAGGAAGAACAAGGAATAAGAGGGCAGTGAGCAAGCGACAGGGAGGGGAAGATTGTCAGGATCGCGCCGGCGTGATCGTTGGATAACTTTCCGTGCTCTCTGCGGCCTGACACGCATAAAACGCGGTCGGTAGGAGAACAGGGAGGAGAAATGAATGCAATAGAGGAGGGGAGGAGAACAGTGAATGAGAGAGAGAGAGAGAAAGGAGAGAGAGAGAGGCGTATGTATGGAGGATCAATAAGAGAGGCGATATACAAACGAGTCACCGGAAGTTGACCGCGATAGCATATCGTCCAGAGTCTCGCCCCTCTGTTCAAGTTCCCCTCTAGCGTGAGGCCGCGACTAACCATCTTGAGGCGTGGGCACACGCCGTGACTCCCCAGCCACGAACACGAGGGACCGTAACGAGAGCGTAATATTTCCCTTGTTGACTCCTGAGTGAGCCACGAATCGTACGCGATCATGCATAACATACTCTTCGTGATACAATACGTCCCGTTATTTTTCACCGTGTACGTGTATCTTCTCCCTATCAGTTTCTATCGCTTCGAACGCTATTGCGATTTCAATCGCGAATAATTGACTTTCTTTTTTTTAAATAGTGCTTTTATTGTACCGCGCGTCCATATATTTTTTTTTTTTTTTTTTTTGAAGACCTAAATCTTTATCGTGTGTCAACTAATGAGTATTCGCGAGGCAAATGATACACTTCGATGTAAAATTGATACTTCCCAAGTATCTGCGGCAGAAGAATTTCAATTCAATATTCGATCGACTTGATCTGTCAAAGGTGACAAGAACAAGAAAATCGCTACTTTGCTGCTACATTTGTGAAACTCGTTCTACTATTTGACAAGTTACAAGAACCGATGACCAATTGGCAAATTAAAAGATTTCCTCTTTCCTCGGCTTGATGACTATATTATTTATATTAACAGGCGCATATTCTCGACGTAAGAAACGTGTAAGAATAGATTTAATCATAGCGAATGTTTTGCATAGACTACTAGCTACACATCACGTGACAAAAATAATGTAATAATTGCAAACTGTTTCTAGCTACAAAAAAAAAAAAAAAAACGAAGTAGCTAAAGATAATAGCAAATTTCGAGAAAGTTATAACGTATAATTTTACACAAGACGTATAATATTCTAAAAATATACAATTCATCCGAGCATGCATATTTTTTGATTGTTATTTTCGCGAAACGTTATTTTATTCATTTTACCTTTTTCACTCTGAAACAGTATATGAAACATACGCCTCGTTACAATACGTTTACGTTGACACTGCGATTGCTAGGTTCACATATGGTTGCATACCGAATTATATTATATTATCCGCTGTATAAAAGCAAATAATTGCGTTTAAGAAGCGACACTTTTTTTTTTAATAAATTACCGAATACACAGCGAAGACAAATCGATGAAAAAGTCTAATCCTTTTGTGAATATTGTTCGTCAAACTCGACACTTGTAACAAAGTAATTCTGCCGGAATACGATAATAACGTAAATGAACGGATGTACGGAAGAGCGCGTAAGTTGAACGAATTCACCTAAGAGTGTGGTAGATATGAATCAGTATATTGCATATGCGTACACAACACTTTACGTATCTTAAAACCTCGTTCAGATTAATCCAAATAACTTGGAACTTCTTTATTTAGTTCACTTTTCTTGATAATTTATCTATTCGAAGTCTGATGTCTTGAACGTAAACAACTTGTATTTAAGTATATAACGAAGCCTGATGTCTTGAACGTAAACAACTTGCATTTAAGTATATAACGAAACCTGTGAACACTAATAGTAGTCTGATAATACTACAAATCTTGATAATTTGCTATATTTGGGACAAAATTACCAAAATTTTTGAACGTCCTCGACAATCTTTAAAATCTCTACGTGAAGCGTGTATTGTTAGAGAAAAAAAGAAATACAGTTGAACTAAATGATCTATTTCTAAAACACCTTGAAAATTGGTGATCTATGAAAAGAAACAGAAGAAGAACATGATGCCGGACACGATGATGCGTAAATTGCGGATGTTTATGCAATTTTTTTTCGTGACGTTTACTTTGGATATTACGCTTTCGTGCGTCTTTTACATTTTCAAATTTCCCATAATAAATGCATAAACATCTGCCGTCTAATGATGAGTAATGAAAAAAATGACTCACCTTATTCACTGGCGGTTCCGGCGGGGGAACGTGAGCGTTATCCCCGTGTTTTTTGAGACAAGGTGGCCTGTCCGGTTGCCGGAAAAGTCTACCATCCTGGATCACAAGTCCTCGATCGACTGCCCTTTTAGCAGATAACCTAAGCGCTGTTCTCAAGTCACCTTCCGCTTCTTCTTCGACCGTGTGACTCTGTCTGATGTATTTCTCGATGTTCTTCAGGGTCGATCCCTCCCTTTCGCCTAACTCTCTGACAGCCTTGCTCAGTACCTTGCTCAGATCCGAAGCTTTGCCTACCTTCAGCGGCTTCGACTGCAAGCCACCCGGATCTTTGTACGACGATTGTCCCTTATTAAAGATCTTGAGCACATCGCCACGTTTCACTGCAACTTCCAGGTGTTCGGCGATCTCCTCCTCGTGATAGTTATGGTGTTGGCGAATGGCATGGCATATCCGCTCGACACTCGGCCTTTGTTTCTGGCTGCGGATTTTTCGGATCGCGTCCAGGAACCAGGCCAACCACGTGTCAGCGGACTCGGGATCGTCCATGGCTTGTCAGGGTCGGCCGTCTGCCGACGAAAGCGGCGGCGGCGACACCGGCGGCGACGTTCACGTACCAGGCCAGATTATATACACCCGATTGACAATGCCCGAACGCCTCCGGGTCAATTTTTCACAGTCAGCCCTTACGACTTACTCACATTCTGCGCCTAACAACTCGTTGCCTCGCACGATTTTTCTACAAAGTTGATGCTGTTTCACATCTCCATGCGTCAAGGTCGCGCCGCACTTCTTATGCTGACCCTAAAAACCAGAATATACCAATCAACCAAGCAGTCTTTCTCTTTTTCTTCTCTCTCTCTCTCTCTCTCTCTCTCGTTTTCCACTTCTTACAGTCAATATATACTTCAGTTCAGGACGTTCGAAATTTTTGAACTGTTTCTGCTATATTAATTTATTATTTGCCATAAAAATTTATCTGATCATTATTATTAATCTGGCTAATGGTAGTACATAACAATGCGGATTTTTATTACAATTAAAGATGCAAAAGTCCATAGAATGTACATAGTACGAGAGAAAAATATTATATATATATATATATATATATGAATTATTAATATCTGTTGCAATATTCAATTAATCCAAAAGTTCTACTCTCCATCATTTTCACACAAGTATCTGCTAAGTCTATGTTACGTACATTTTGTATGTTTTTTGCATCTTTAAATATAAATGCATCTATCTCCACGGCCTCCTGATAACACACGATGTGTCTCCTGTACCATATTAATCAGATATACCGTGTGACATTCGGTTACTATTATACGTAACATACGTATATTGCTAGCTACAACTCGAATCGTGGCAAGCTGTCCAAACGAAATACATTTCCTCCAATCGTTTTTTCGTTTCCCATTCGACAAACCCATGAGAATTCTTCGAGCGTTACTCAACGAAACACATGTAAAAAAATAACCCGCTCTCTTTGCAAAACCAAACGACTCGAAATAAAGTAACCACTTCAAAAGAATGAAAGAGCTGCCTTATTTTTACATTCTAGATCCCAACAGCGAATCCGTCGTTACCGTAAAAAGCTGTCCAGTTAGAACAGTAGCTGGAAATCACTCAAAACTGCTCAATTTTTTAACTCGTTACAAACGATTGACCGATTTTCTTCTAAGCGGCAAACTTTCTCCTCGACGTAAGCAAACTCAACACAAGGTGTACGTGTTATGTACACATGGAAGGGAGTGAAATATTTTGAACTATACGTCGTACTGATATATTGCACAATTTCGAATAAATTGTTGCTACACGTGATTTGTTGAATCGATCGGGCACATATTATGTTTGTTACATAAAGAAAATTAAACATTAAAACTGAAATTCTGAAATTTCACTGATTACGTAAAATATATGAATAAAATACTCGAACGTTTAAATACTTTTGAGATCCCTGTAAAATGTACATTTGCATTAAATATCTCGTAAGATATAACAGATAATAATCGAATCTTACCAACGCTAATGAAATTTCGAAATTGTAGTATATATTCATAAAAAAAATTTCTACAAGTGTTTAAGTACTGTTGATATCCGAATTCGATGATAAATATTCAATAATCGAGCCCACTATACGTGGAAGATATACAGCGAAAAGAATCTCCAAACAAAAACGATACAGTTAAATGATACAAAGCCAATCTAGAAGGATGAGATGCAACACTGTTTGCACAGATTAACTTACTAAAGTCAGCATTACCTAATGCAAATCGTACCATATGACGAGATGTTTGCTCGATGGATCTCGTGGGATTTGTTTGGCCGATTTCGTTCTAATATTTCCGCCGTTCGTCGTTCTTCATGGGCAACGTTCGTTAATTAAACGGGAGGTACTCGTGCCGAACAATAAATTAAATCAATCTAGCGTTCTTTGTCCGTGAATCACTAAGAAACGCGGTCTTATTATATGACTAATCTTTGTTTAACATACGTGTCACTGAATAAAGTGTTCGCGAAACAATTGTTTCGTTCACGTTCAAACAAAAAAAAAAAAAAAAACCCCAATTGGAAACGAGCGTTGAACGGATAAAAGTTAATTCCTGTCTTTTCTCACAACGGACTTGAATTTTAAATATCAGCCTTGGCTTGAATTTATTAATCGGCCAATTATCGGCACGATTCCAACAATTACGAAGAACAGGAGTATATAGGAAAACGAACCAATGGAGGGAGAGAAGAAAGGAGGGAGTGGAGAGAGAGAGAGAGAGAGAGAGAGAGAGAGAAACGGCAAGCGAATGAACGCACTACACATTCAGAATTTTCCATCGAAAATCAACCAATGTATATTATATGTACATATAAATCTTTTCTCTTCTTTTTTCAGGAACACTCCGAAGTGACTCACTTCTTGTTCACTTCTACAGGTGTAGGCTCTGTTACTCGCACGGTTATTAAACGAAATGAAGTATCGGAGTAAACGAATAACGTTAGCTAATTTATCTATCGTTGTCCGTTTGAGACACACGACAGTAACGAGGAAGAAGGGAGGCCAGTAGTCAAGCCGGCTGACTGTGTTTGCTGGGGCCTTTCTCACCCGACGGAGAGGTGAAAGAGAGGATGGCAACAGAGAGAGCAGCTGCCACTGAGAAAACGGACGGTTACCGAATGATTTCAACTACTGCCGACTTGGCGTTTCTTACTCCGTTGCTCGTTTCTTTTCTACTTCTTTTTCCATTTTTCTTTCTTTTTCTTTTTGTACATTTTTGGCGATTCTTCCTTGAATAAAAATGCTTCTCCTATCAGTATTTGTTTCAATAAAGAAAATACTCACACATCCCGTGAACTTTAACTCGGTACTACACACGCTCGAAGAACAAAAACGCACGAACGGAGAGCGTCGTATGATTTGAACGAATTTTCAGTTACGAGAAAGTACGGAGAAGAACGCAGAGGAAGAAAATGATTCGAGAGACGAATGGTATATTTGCTAATAATCACCAACTGGTTACCGTCGGGTAGCCATTTTAATCTCAATGGTAGCCAATTTACAATCTCAACACGGGAACATGGTACCTCTGTGCGAACAGGGAAACTTGCCTGACGTTCCTCAAGCAGAAACAACTGTTAAAACTCGTTACAAGCGACGTTCCTCGTAAGAAAGACACTGTACGGCTAACGAATGTAATCGCGACGGCCGTCGCCCACGAAGCCACCGCTAACGCTACCGACTATGCGCCCAATTTAACTACTGCTAACGATGCTACAACACCGAGTTTTTCATCATTTTCGAGTGAAATACTTGGTGCACGATATACGGGTGAAAGATGTAAAACGACTGAATTACGTGTCTAAGTAGACAGCGAGGACACAAGTTTCTCGAAACCCGACGGGCAGCCATCTTGGGTAGGCACGGCCAACTCTCGGTTGTTTCGCACAATTTTTCGCGCGTAAGAGCAAACGTTTCGGCCGCAACATCGTGCTGTCTAATTTTCCGAACAAACGCCTGGCAAACGGATGGCATTCGGCTATTCGCTTGTTTGGGCATAGCATGAAAAAAAAAATATAAAGAAGCGAGGAGAGACACTGCGTATAGAAGATTATCTCCTTCTCTCTTTTGCACTCTATTGCACACTCACTCTCTCTCTCTCTCTCACTCCTCCATGAGCTGGCGGCCCGACCCGCTGCTGGCCCGTATGCGTCTGGTGATGATTCGCGTGGTTCTCTTACAAGATTTAACGAGAGACTAATTGTTTTTACCTGATCGCGGTAATTCCATGTATAAATCCAGAGTAAAATGGCACAGGGATCACTGGATACTGTTTCACGGGATATTTAATCACGATTACCAATTATCTTGCGACAACGGCGTCACATTTCACACAAATCAACAAAGGTTACCCACTTGACAAAGATGGCGTTTGCGGGGGTTACACACAGCGCGCACGCGGTGGGGAGCGCACTGCGCACACCGCGCTCACTGTTACGGCGGAATCACGAAACAGTTGTAGCGGCACACGTTTTCCTCGACCAATCAAACCGTCCACTTTGACTCGTACACTCTCATTACCGGTCACACGTGCGTCGCTTTTCGTCCGTTTCCTACCGCGCGCGCACACATGCGCATCATCTTTGTATATCTACAGCATGTCTCATGGGATGTACATCACGAATAAAACCTTACAAGCGCGGGAATATAAGGTGTACAAGCTGTGATGGAAATATTCAGACCAGCCTAATATCTGCATCCTTAGACCTGATGTACACCTATCTATACGATATCATTCTACTTCCTTCCCTCTCTCACACAACTATTTCATATTCCTACCTTCACTATGGCCGTCGCTTGCTTTACGCTCACTTTAACCATTCCCAATCAGTTCTTCAACACTACACGCGCGCGTCTGCTACATGACGCTGTGTACAGAAGCTTTGTCAACGAGCTTCCAGGACCGTATCCTTCCATGTTCGAGCCACCTACCTAGAAATATTAACGACATACTTTTCAGACCACTGTTTCTCTCTGTTTTCTTCTTTTCTCCTTTTTGTGTCAACACGTGAATGTAACTTAGTTTTTTTCGATTGTTCTTTTTATATATTTCATCAATTTATACGTAGAACGTAAGAATAGAATGAACAACAATATAATCAGTTTATATTTTAACCTACTATGGAAATATGTATGTTACCGAGTTGTGAAAAATTGAAAGAAATATCTAAAGATTCCTGTCATCTTAATTATAACTACCGTGCCCTTCTGTTTTTCCAATTGTAAATCTAGAATATATGTCATAATTTACTAAAGAAACGATTGATTTTTTTAAAGATTCATGTCCTATATATGTATGCATCTTCGTCTTCATAATTTCTTACCCATGCATATGTATGTACATATGTAAACCGACGCAGACGTACTGTGCGATCGTGCTGTTTTTTTAACTGTTTCAACAAGTGCGCTTATATCTTGCAATACTAAAAAGACGCAAGTAATTATACATTAATCATTTCTCACGTTTTACAGATTTCCATCAATTAATATAACTATAATTGACAACCAGTATAATAATAATAAATTTAAAGATGTATTTAAAAAATAGAGTGCTATTTTCCTAGATTATTACACTAACGACAACAACAACAACAACAACAATAATAATAGTAATAATAATAACAAAAATATCATTAACCTGGGATTACCCACATGAGGGTCTAGTTGCTGGGATGTATCTGCGCTAGACCTCCAGGTGGGTAATCCCGGGTTAAAAACCTATGCAAATAATATTATTTAGCCATTATATTTTCTATTACTGTATCTGTTTATATAATAATAGTTATACACTTTCCTCGATATATACTATATCAATCTACTATCAATCTAGTATTGATACATAGATAATATATATCAACTTACTAATAGTATTGAAATTTTTCGCATTTATGTACAAAGATCAGTAACATACTTTTTATTAATACTTAGAATTAATATAATTCTATTAAATAATTAATTCTTTGATACACGGATTGGGTCTAGAATATTTCCATATTAATTGTTATTCAACTGTATATTAAAGGATTAATATTTTTCTTGTTCTTGTGCTTTTCATTATAAGAGAAATAATAAATTTAGATGTAGATAGGTATAAATTTGTTTTGTGACTCTAGAAATCGAGGTAAAAAGTTGATAAATAATTTATTAAGTACCGAGTTTACAATTGTTACTAACTGGCTTAAGTATGATCAAGGAGTGAAATCAGGTTTCCCTTCGTAAGTACATCCAGATCTTTGTATAATTTGAGTTGCAGCCCAAATTGCACATTTTATACAAACTTCTATACTTCTACCTTGTACAAGTTGTGCCAAAAAACCTGAAAGAATAACATGTAATATTTTTTAAGCAAATTACTAATTTTCAGTTGAAGAATGCTTACCTCCTACAAATGCATCGCCTGCTCCATTAGTATCAACAACCTTTTCGTTTGGGAGTTTTGCAGCAGGAAATTCCATTATAGCATTATCTTTAACAACTAATATGCTATCAGGACCTTGTGTTATTATAACAATTCTTTGCTTCTTCTTATTCAATTTTTCCATTTGTGATAATTTTAATGCAATTTCTTTTCTATTTGTGGTTTGAAAATCATTTACCTTTGCAAATGTATCAGCTTCCGCTTCATTACCAAATAAGATATCTACATAAGGAAGAGCTTCTAACATTGGTTTTTTGTAATACATACATAAAAATGGTGCACTCAGATTCATTACAAACATTTTATTTTTTTCTAAAGCATGTTGAGCAACTATCTGAATAGTTTCTGGGCTTACAGTTAAGAAGAAACCCTAAAATTTAATATATTGTGTTTAATGTCAGGCCTGAATTTAATCAAACTACCAAATCTAAGAATTAATAGATTTAAATTGATACATACAGAAACATAAATATATTCTGCCATTTCTATAAGCTTCTTATTTTCAGATTCTTCTATATGTGAAGGTGAAAAACAGGTAGCTGCAGCTAAGTTGGCACATAAAGAACGTTCATTTCCAGTAATGAGAACAGCACAGGTACCAGTAGACTCTTTCTTTGTATACTGATAACGAATATTTAAGCCATCTGCTCGTGCTCTATCTTCCAAAATTTTAGAGTACTTATCCATGCCAACGCAACCCATATAAGTTGCAATTCTTGGTTTCTCCAGGAACCACTACAGGATAGTTAATATTTGATATTTCTATTAACTTAACATAATGTAAAATAATGTAAATGATTTACTTGTGTTACTCGCATAGTATTTTGTACAGAACCACCAGCAATAAAATCTGCTTTATACAATTCAATTAATTCATCATACATAGGCTTGTGTTTTTCTTCAGCAAGAATTGCATCGTTTGATTTTAAATCATATTTTTTTAAAAAATCCCTATCTACTGTAGCTGAAATATCAAGAAGAGGATTACCCAAGCCTAGTAGAAGACCCTCCCTGAAATATTTCAAAATTGTTATTTCAAACAGATGTATAAAATCTATTTCAATGAAATCAATTATGAATATTTTACCTTTAAAAAAAATAAATACATGAAAATATTTTCTTCTCCTTATTTATTCTCTTTTTTTCTTTACATATTTAAATAAGAATTTATACATAAAAAAAAATACTGCATTAAAAGACTTTTATAACCTGAATGTTTTCTTTTACAATATTCCTGTTACATTTATAGCATGAATTACAAACATATACATATATATGTATAAAGAAAAAAACATTAATTCTTTTTCATATGTATTTATAAAAAAAAAAAAAGGAAAATTCATATTTTATTTTTGAATGATTCACAATCATGTGAGCACATGATCAACCATGCATGTAAAACCTAACCCTCAGTTTAACATAACCTCAAGCGTGTGATGAATTGAAATATCGACTATAAATGATAAATAAAAAATATTTCGAATATTAAATTATACCATACCGTAAGTTCATCGCCATTTGTCAAGATTTTCGTGTAGTTCGTTGTAAACGAACATGTATATTGACAATATGCCACTAGATTGTGGCGGAGATATCAGTTGCTCGCTACTGCGAAGTCCAACAAAATCACGTGCACTTGAAACTGTGTTTATATTAAAATGTTATCTTTATTGCTAACGTTTCATACGTTATCTTAACATTTTTATTTCATAAATGCAGTAAATACTAAAAATTCAAAAATTTAAAATGATTACATTAATTTCTGTTCAAACAATTGCTAACATTAAATGTACTATTTTTCGTAAATTTTCCATCACGTTTAAATGTACATGAAAAAATATGCCATTATTATCACTTAGTAAACTTATATAACAGAATTGTTTAATATAACATACATATTACCGGGGCATCAGTGCATACAACATATCGTTTATTATATTGTACAATTCATAAAAAAAAATGTATATTATCTATGACACACTTAACATTTCCAAAAAAAAAAAACATTACATTTAATATTTTATATTTTTATATTCAGTATGTAATTTACATTTAATAGTAATTTACTTGCATTATTAATAAACAGATCACATATGTATTATTTTTTAATTTCTTAAGGTATACGCATTTATTATACATTATTAAATTCAGTAAGAATCTTTTTTTTTTCTTTTTAGTTTCTTCTTATATCCTGATAGTATTTTATATACGCATTGGTTATTTAAATTAACGTTATATTACTTACCACCAAATTTTATATTTTAATATTCAATACACTTTTGCATCAGATAAGGTATCATGTATCTTCACAAGTAATTTCTATTATTAATCATTCAATAATTCATTAATCATTATATTAATACACAATATGTTTGTATACATATGTTTGTATTTTTGTAGTCGATAATAAAGAACGGGGGGAAACAAATTCGAACAATTTATGTTACGAATATCATATTGAAGACCAGCAAAAGAAAAAGCATGGCGATAAAACAGCGTTGATGTTGAACAATTAAACACGCTAACTGCTGCATTAAAATATCTATAATGCAAAAAGGAATAATAAGGGAGAGGTGTAGAGATTTTACTTCCTTACGATACCTTCTTCTCGTGCTTCCATACATTCAAGAAAAATCTTAAGAAATCCAGTGTTAGTATGATACACAGAAGAGTGTCGGGGATGAACAAGTTTGCAGAATCGCCATATCCAATGCTATCTTAGATGCTGGACACCTACATTCGCATACGAGTTCTCCGTTTTTTTAATGTGTACATGCGCATATACTTTGCTGCATCTCCTAAGAAAGAAAACATGACTCTCAAAAAGTTCGACAAACAAAAAAAAAGTACGAATTTTTAATGCTTTCAGAGAAGAAAACACGTGTATTTGCGGTTTTTCTTTTTTTTTTTTACTTGCATTTTTCACACGGATCAGAATGATACAGAGTGAACTTGCCTTTATACACTGTGGTTTACACCCAATATATTTGTCCAAAGTGGGATCTGCGGTGCCCATATCCATCATTCACCATCACTTTTGTCAGTCATGGCGTGCCTTTGTCAATGAAGTACGAAGTTGTCCTGGTCGACAATTACATTTCACCTCATAGGATACGGTTGCTGCACTATTTTCTTTATCTTACTCTCACTTTCTCTTTCTCTCTCTCTCTATCTCTCTCTCTCTTTTCTTTTTCCCTCCATTACTCTTTCAACTTATCTTTTTTTCTCTTTCTCTTTCCTTTCGTAATTGACATCGTCAAAGCCCAGCTCCTTCCAAGTATGTCCAGAAGCGCTTGAGGCAGAGGCTCTATCGTGTCCTATATCATACATCACATTACAATATGCATAATGTTTTTTTTAAATTTCTCTGCGACGCGTCTATCACTTTTTTTTTTTTTGATAATTGATAACCGACGACCCGAGACACGTATAATTTTCGTCGCGCATGTGAAGAATTACACGTCCCGGCTCTTTTTGCAGTCTATTTTACTTCCGTCCTCACATACGCATATTAAATATATTATCGTTGTCCCGATTTCTACGTAGTCAGTAATACATTTCTATTGCGCTTTACTTTTCCGTTTTCATATATTTATATATAGTTTCTTTTCCTTTAATACGTGTATATCTTTTTTTTTTTTTTTTTTTTTTTGGCTTTTTTTTTTTTTTTTTTCTTTCTTTAAAGCCTTCCTCGAGGCTCAGGATGTCAGGATCCTGATTAAAACGATGCTCAGAGCAGCTTCTTATTGAAGATGAAGAACTTTCCGCCCCTCATAGTTCCAGCGGTGCAATACCTGGAAATTGCAATCAAACGGTCAACAAATGCGATTCGGTGTCCGATTCGGGGAATCTCTCTGGTGTCTACTCGAGTGTTGCCGATTGTCGCGGTAGCCCGTCGCCAGAGGCGTACGACTAACCGGCCACTTAACCCTTTAAGGAGCTTCACGGCTCTATTTATAGCGTTGTGTGTCGCGTTGACGTGTCACGGCGAGGAAGGATTCTTTTGGATTCAGTATTTTGCTTTTTTATCTGTTTCATTTCTTTACAAATTTCCAGCCAGGCTACCGTACTGCGAAAAGTTTGCGGAACGTTGCAGAGAATTGATATGACGCTCAGTCTCGGCATTCGAATTTTTTTTAAATTACGCTCACAAGAGATTAGAAATTTATGTGTGAACGTTGAATTGCATCGTGTCAGCCGCGTTCTTTCTGGGAATTAGGCAAATTTGGAACGTGCGCGAATTGAAAATTTCATCAAAAATGCAGAAGTAGAGCTTCTCGATTTTGAATCGTAAGAGTTTCGTATCAGGTGTCGTTGCACGTAAAGTAGCAGACCTCTTGATAAAATTTTATAACGTTCTTGAAAGTATTGTTAACTAAATTACGACTCGACGTGTTAATATCAAATTAATCGTTCAAATTCCACATGTTAATATCGGCAAACGGAATATTATTACGACGAATAAATATAACTATGACTATTACGATAATTATATAAATAAGTATAAAAAGAATTTCTGGTCTATTTTGGACTATTTTAAACACAATCATAAATTGTGACATGTATCTTTTCTTATCTTGACATCTATATAGTTTCGTAATAAGTATAATGTAATATTGCACGTGACTTTTATCCAAGATCACATAAATTTGGAGAAAAATACACTTGAATTTTATACAACATCTGACTTTATAGACCTATATTTTATAGGTAAAATAATTGGCGAAATATTCATCATATTCCGTTTGAAGCTTAACGTTTATTTTTAACCAGTATTTCAACAACACTTTTAATTTCGAACGATCTTTACACGTTTTTCAAACCTAATATTTATCCTCTGGAAATAAACATTTCACCAATTTGCTCGTCGAAATGAATTTTTTTTCGGTTTCTGCCTCCGACTAAAATTTACATAATACCGTGTCAATAAATATTCCAGATTTTTTGGGCGACTTTTTAAGAGCTACGAAAGAAACTAAAATTAGTCTGAGACACGAACAACCCGTTAGTCCCGTTCGCGATAGGTGAAATTTGATAATGCAACGTGCCTAAGGTAGATTCATAGAAGCCAAATCGAAAATCTCACGAAAAGGAAGGGAGATCACGCGCGCGCGAGCGAGCGAGCGAGCGAGCGAGCGACGATCATCGACGAATTTTCAAACGGCCGGACCCCGCGTGTACCTTTTGCTCCCGTTGCGATCATTAAATTAAGAAATAATTAACGAAAGTATCTGAAATGGCCGATAATCGGCAGCAACTTCATACCAGCGCGCTTAATGTTGTTGGACAAGAAAGTGGCGAACACCTGGGCAAGATACAGCCTTTAATAAACGGCTTTCACGACCGGCCAGCGAGAGAGAAAGAAAAAGGAACCGAGAGAACCGAAACAGAACACGAAAAAGGAAAATAAATTGCATATTCATGATGATGCTTGAAACCGTGTGAGTGCCATTTTGTTGAACGAGAGCCGCAGGGCTCGCGAAACCTCAACTCGATAAGCAGTAAAAGTATCTCGTAAGCCGGTACACTCTGTTTCTTTGGTACCTTTCTCGTTCTTTTTTCTTTCTCTCTTTCTTTCTTTCTCTCTTTCTTTCTTTCTTTCTTTTTTTTTTAATCCCTTTAATACCACACGACGATATATCGTCGTTAACTACACTCGTGAAAAATGCCGAGGGCGATATATCGTGCTTGAGTCACTATGTTTGAAAATAATGATTCTCCACTTGTTAGACTGCGCCGTATCTTAGAATTATTTACCTTTTCAAACACTTATGTACCGCGACATATTGTTAATAGGATCCCGTCGTCGATGTCGCGACTGTCGTTCGAAACTAGACTTGTTGTCGTTGTTCGTTTTTACTTGTTTATTTCTCGAAACGCAAAACACGCTCCCTTTTCAATTTTGCAGTTGCAAATTTCAAACTAAATTTTCATTATTTATTATATATTTATTATTTGTTATTATTATATGTTATTTATTCATCGTCGTTTGTTTACTTCTTTTTTTTTTTTTCTTTTTTGGAAATATTTCTTCAGCTTCCATGCATTTCTTCCTGAATTTATTTATTAGTGGCTGTTTATCTTTTAACATGTTCTTTTCCGAACTTAGTTATTAAGATTTAAAACCAATTGTTATTATTTATTTATTTTTTAACACGTTTCTTTCCCACTGTTCCAAATTTTATTACTTGTTCATTGTCATTCGTTCCTCTTTCAACTTCGTAATAATCGTTTGTAACTAAATTTTCTGTCATTCTTTTTTTTTTTTCCTCCCCCGTTCTCAAATTTTATTCAATCACGACGATTTGACTCGACGTTTCTCGCCATTACTCCCGTTGTTTATTAATTGATACAAAATATTACAGCCGAGACCGCGATAACGGCGAGTAAAGCTTTCATCGGTATTCGATACTCATAATTCACATTGTCACGCAAACGTCGTAATAAATAGCAGTAACCCGAGATTCGAGATTCGTATTGTACTTGAAACCGGATAGATACGATTCATCGAAACTTCTTCCTGATCGTTATTAAAAGACTGATGGTAATGAGGCAGCATGAATAACAAGCATAAAATAGATATCAGAGGTTTGTTCCTTCTTTGTGTTGAATGATGATGCACGCATCATGGTTAACTGCTCTCGTGAAAAATGTCGAGGAAGATATATCGTGTCTGAGTCGTTATATTTGAAAATATAACGATTCTTCACTCGTTGGACGCTGTGCAACCTAGAATTACTCAATATTTATCATCTGAAACCGACATTTTGCTTCTTAACATGTTCCCTTTTCACAATTTTGATAATCATCCAATCCTTTCTTCACTATTTCTCAAGATTTTTGAAGAACGTTTACATTTAAACGTTCTTAATATATTGTTTTATAATAACAATTCAACTCTCTTCTTTGAATTTTATTACTTAAGTTTATTAATTAAAATTTTTCATTTTTTTCTTTTCTCTTTTTTTTCCCCATTGTGGGTAGACCTCTTTTTATAGTTACTAGCTCTTTCCAAGAACATAGGACATTTTTATTCCCACGTCATCTTCACCAACAGCAAGTGCACGTACATACCGTGCATGAATAATTAATTAATAAAAGTTTCTTGCTGTTCGTTTTCTGCGTTTCCGAATCTCGTGTTCATTAATACCAAACCATTGCGTTCATTAATTACAAACCTTTCCAACGCGGTTGCGAAACACATGTTTCAATCGTCTGGTTCTGGAACTTCAACAACTCCGCAGGAGCGTTCGAAATATTTCTTTTCATCAATATCCATCAATCGTGCACCGTTAGATTCGTCGTCGGCGATAACCCGAGCCGAGTGTCCAAAATGTTTGCGCGCGATTCGATTTCCACGTGCGACTCGCGTTGCGAAATTTCGAGTAAAGCGCGAAAGGAACACGAACCACGGATGGAACGGAACGATAACTCGATTTTCGCATTATCTTGACAGGGGGGGTCTTGACGCTGCAAATTTACGTTCGTTTAATCCGAACGGGCGACGATAACCAAATCTGCGAGTTATGCAAGTCTCCGCGTTAGCGAAAGGGTTAATACTAAATTTCACATCATTTCTCCCCTTCCCCCTCCTCCCTCTTCCCTCGAATGCCTCGCCGAAACTGCATCAACGTAACTCAGTGCTTTTTCGTTTCGGAATTATCATCTTCTCTGTCGGCGGAATGAAAGTACGGATTAAGTGCACCCTCGATAGCGCGAGCCACGAGAAATCAAATCATTCTCACGATTTGTCCGGGCCGTTGAACATCCACGAGCGTATCACGTCATATTCCTTATGAATGTCGAGCATAAATCACGGCCGGCGTTGGGCTTAACAGCAGGGATCCCCCCCTCCCCCCTTCAAAAATTGCAACCACGTGCGCGTGCAACGATTTGTTGTATGTGGGTGGCTCGCGAAGTAATGGACACACGGTTGACGAAGAAAGCTCTGAGAGATTGAGGTCTCTCTGATCGACGCAATCGAAAAAAAAAAAAAGAAAAAAAAAGGAAAAAAGGAGAAGGGAGGGAGGAGGAGGAGAAAGAAGGAAAAAATTGAATAAACCCAGGCTACTTTCGTCGAGATGGCGTAGAAGGGTAGAAATTCGTGGAAGTCTTTACCGAGTCTCGTTAATTAGGGTAAACAAGGAAATCTGGAAGAAAAAATGGAGTTGTAATAGCTGAAGCCATTTTCAGCCAATTTTCAGCAGCGATTCATGGTGATTCGGGGAACGAATTTTTGCGGCCAAAATTAAGAAATGCCTTCGCGGACAGACAATTTCGCGATGAAATCACGATGGGTGTAATAAAAGCGAATGAAGTACTGCAGGCAACGCGAAAAGAAACATAAAAACACAAAAATATCATCAAATATAGTGCGTGGAATATAATACAAATATAAATAAATATACATACGTGTATGAAGCATGTTAATTTCTTTTTTCAACGACAATATCACTTACGTAATTAATTAATACTAGAACTACCGATAACATTTCCATCAGAGACATCGAAGTCCCAGAAATAAACTTTTAAGATACAATGGAGAGATTTATATATTTTATGAAAAATTATCTTTAAAAACACACTGTTTCACGCCTGCAAAGTGTCTGACAAAAAAATTATAAGTTTGTCATTCTGACCGCTTTGAATTTTACCACGCTGCTTTCAGAATCTTTCGTCTCTGAAATAAATGTTTGAGATTTTAACCACTTGCGCTGGCAACTGTTTACGGACCATAACGAGTGACCAAATCGTATACGATAATTCGTCGCTTTCTTTCTGAACTCGTCGGTATGATATCACTGGATCGAAGTTATTATTTGTTTTGTCCAGGTTATACTCAGATATACTATACTTATATACTTAAATATACTATACTAAACCTGAGAAAATATTGCAATTTTGGGAGAAAAAAATTCTCGACGTGGCACGCCATCCCAGCGCAAGAGGTTAAAGCTCTTTGATGGACTGTCACTTTCTGGCGAAGAGAGAAATCTTTTTCAACA